GAGAGAGAGAGAGAGAGAGGAGAGAAGAGAGAGAGAGGAGAGAGGAGAGAGAGAGAGAGAGAGAAAGAGAGAGGAGGGGAGAGAGAGAGAGAGAGAGAGGAGGGGAAAGGAGGAGGGAGGAAGAAGAGAGAGAGGGCGAGGAGGAGGAGGAAAAGAGAGAGGAGGCGAGAGAAGAGAGAGAGAGAGAGGGAAGAGAGAGAGAGAGGGGGAGGAGAGAGAGAGGGGGGAGGGAAGAGAGAGAGGAGAGAGGAGGAGAGAAGAGAGAGAGGAGGAGAGAAAGAGGAGAGAGGAGAGAGAGAGGAGAGAGAGACGAGAGAGAGAAGAGAGAGAGAGGAGAGAGAGAGAAGAGAGAGAGGGAGAGAGAGAGAGAGAGAGAGGAGAGAGAAGAAGGAGCAGAGGGAGGGAGAGAGACACAGAGTAGATAGAATAGATAGATAGATAGATAGAAGAAGATAGAAGGAGAAGAAGAGAGAGAGAGGAGAGAGAGGAGAAAGAGAGGAGCGCGAGGAGAGAAAGAGAGAAAGAGAGGGAAGAAGAGGAGAGAGAAAGAGAGGAGGAGAAAGAGAGGGAGAGGAGAGGGAGGGAGAGAGGAGAAGGAGAGAGAGAGGGAGATGAGAGAGGAGAGAGAGAGAGTGAGAGAGGAGAGGAGAGAGAATGAGAAGAGGAGTGAGGGGAAAGGAGGGAGGGAGGGAGAGGGAGGAGAGGAACAAGAAAGCGAGCAAGAGGAAGGGGAGAGAAGGAAGGGGAGAGGGAGGGAGGAAGGAAGGGAGAGAGGAGGGAGAGGAGGAAGGAAAGGGAGGTGAGAGGAGGGATGGGAGGAGGGAGAGGAGGGAGGAAAGGAGAGGGAGAGGAGGAGGAGGGAAGGAGGGGAGAGGAGGGAGGGAAGGAAGGGAAAGGAGGGAGGGAAGGGAGGGAGGGAGGGAAAGGAGGGAGGGAGAGGAGAGGAGAGGAAGAGAGAGAGGAGAGGAGAGAAAGGAGAGGAGAGAGAAGGAGAGAGAGGGAGAAAGAAAGAGAGGGAGAAGAGAAAGAGGAGGAGAGAAGAGGAAAAGGAAGGAGGTAGAGGAGAGAGAGGAGGTAGAGGAGAAAGGAGAGTGAGGAGAGAGGAGATAAAAGAGAGGAGAGAGGAGTTGAAAGGGAAGTGATGAAAGGATTCATAAAGGAAAGCAGAGAGAGGGTACAAGGAGGAAAAAGTGAGGGAATATGAGGAGGACAGGATGGAGAGAAAGGATAAAGATAAGATACGATAATATGCATGAAGATAGAAATATGAGAGAGATAAGACCGGTGACAAAGAAGAGATGAAACCGAGGGAAAAGGCGCTAAAAAAATTATAATGTCCAAGAGTATTCAGTCTGGAGATATGGAAGGTTTATGACACATAAAAAAGAGACAGACTGATACATGTCTAAAAATATTCAGAAGGAAAACCTGAATCAAAATCTTTCTGCTTGTGGAGTGAAATATGACCCAGAAAATTACTTGTTAACACTTGCTAGAATTACATCAGAGCTAAACAAAAAAGTTTACAAACCCATTAGTGTTAATTATCATCTGCGCAGCAATGAGTATCACTTGCTCAACTTTCAATAATGATCTGAATCAAAATATCAGAGTTCTGCAGCAGAGCTCTCTTAATATATCCCTCGTTTTAAATAGCAACTTTATAAAAATCTTTCTCTCTTGCTACTTTTGCTTAGGATAGTATCATGGCAATGTAATAAAACTGATAATCATGACATAACACAATACTGTAAATGTACTAACCAAAAAAATTCAACTGTATCAATGTCACATCTACATACAGAGAAAAAGGTTGATAAAACCCATCCTTCGAATATTGATTTTAGTGCAGCAATTGTAGCTAGTACTTAAATCCGTTCTAATGTACACTAATTCACGTGATTCAGGTTAAAATCATATCTATACTTGTGCCATTAATCCATCATAAACTCACACCCGACTGAAATAGACTAGCCCCTCTCTCAAACCACGAACTACCAGCTATTACAACACCAGCAGACTAACACACACTACCCTCAATGATTAGATTCTCCTAAAAACACGCATTCTCTTTTCTGAATGAAGTCAAAATCCTCAAACGAGTTCATATAATGCAGCGGGAGTCGCGAGCGTCCAGCATGTGTCACACCAACTCCATTATCGACGTCCCGAGCAGTTGCCAAGTGCAATATCTCCGTATTTTGAGCTCGTCTGAACAACACACCCATTCGGACTTTAATCATGTTGCCGCATTGTATTAATTCCGACGAAGGCGACGGAGCCGACGGATACCCTGAAAGGCCGAGAGGGAGCTATGAAAGGGGTAAAAATGGCGAGAGAAATTGGGTAGGATGTCGCTCCCCGACCAGCTGACACTGACAACTCCACGCCGGGCTCCAACTATCCAATTTCCAGCAGAAAAATCCTCCCACCAAAGCCCACATTCATCAGGGAAATTGCAAATCACGTCCATCGTCTGCAACTACGATCGCGAACTAGGCTTCCACGCCCATTCTGCGAAGGGATTTTCCCGGTATCGAGATATATACATAGGGAGGAGGAACCTGCTCACCATGTTTTTTACTTTTTTTGAATTTTAAGTGGAATATCCTCTTTAAAACTCGCCGTTCAAGTCTCGAGTAGTGACGCATGTGTTCTTGCTGTCCAAGTAAGAGGCCTCTCATCGATGAATGTAAATAACTCGAAGCAGAATACACACAAAAAAGAAGCCCGAGAGGTCCCCATCGCAAGGCAGCCATCATGTTCATTGATTCCAAGTCAATAAATAGTCTCCTGGAAACTTTCCCTGTGTGAGAAGCCCTAACGTCTACTAGGAAAGGGACAAGAAGAGGGAAGTGATGGCTTGTATACTCACAGTCCAAGTGTTTCTTCTTGGGGCCAATGACTTCCTCGGTGGTGGCTTTACACACAGACTTGGCAAGCCCCTGTCCGGCAAGACTATAGCGAGCTGCTGTCAGTCTGTCGTTGATGGATTGGCCGGCCATTTTTGCCTCTTTTTGTGATTGGGGAGAATATAAGAAATCACTGGGTTGCCTCAAGGGCCTTAAAAACAAGAAGACACGACTACCACTCCGAGGGCCGCTGCCTGACCCTCCCTGCACAGCCGTCCACACACAACTAGTCGAAAATGGCGATGTCTGAGTGGGTGTGACGTCACTCAT